TTCCTTTAAATCTATTTTCCAAGCAAAACCTATGATGCATCGATTAAATCTACCAAAGATTTTCCAGATGATGTAATTAGCTTTGTAAAGAACCATCCTCTAATGTACAAGTCTGTGTATCCCCTTTACGGGAGACCTGTGTTTTCAAGACTCAACATGGATTACAAGCTGACTCAGATTGCTGTGGACCATGTGGTAGCAGAGGATGGCCAGTATGATGTAATGTTTATTGGAACAGGTAATTATTATTACTATAATAATAATCATTATTATTATCAACATCATTATTCATTTATTTCAATTGACAAATAAATATTGTTTTAAAGACCTATATTTTCATAGAAAGCTTTCCCGATAGAAACATGGAGGCTGCTATTGCTCATGTTTTCTTCTGAAAATGATTGTTGCCTGGCTGTTATGCTGATCTTTCAATTTCAATGGATTGAGACACTGACCTGGATCAAGTATACAGATAAGGACATTTATTATAACTTTTCTCATATGTACACTTATTCTGGCTCATTGAAATGCTTATAGCCAGATAATCATCATAACAGCCAGAGCATTTTCAAAATATCAGCAGTGGCAGCTTCTATAGTTCTGTTAGAAAAGGTTGTGTAAACATTCAGTAGAACATATTCTTTGCATGCTGCTTTGACAGTAGAGGGAGCCACTTCTTCATTTATGAGTGTAAAGATTCAAGACACTGCATACCATTTTGCTGATTTTTTTGCCATACACAGTGCAGCATGGTACAGTAACACACAGCAGCCAATCAAAGTTCAATAATTTACTGACATGACTAGATAAAACTGAGATCAGATTGCAGAACAGTGTACATTGCACAAAAATATCAGTAATTTGTCATTTTTTTTCAGAGCAGATTTTTAGATGTGCCATATTATGCAGTGTACAGTTAACAATGGCACTAGCATTGATGTAAAAGTTCAGTTGATAATATGTATTTGTATTTTTTATAGTCAAAAATAGATGTTTGGGTGTGATGTGTTATGTGGAAGCAATGTTCCATACCTGTGCTGATGAGCACTGGGCTTTTCCAATTCACTGAGGTCCAAAAGAACAAAAGAAACTTTTATTTTCCAGCCATCCACTTTAAAGCCCTGCTCCGGGACAATAAACTTACTACAGCTCAGGAAGTTGTAGAGTCCCTTTGCTCTAAACCTACCTGCAATAATTAGAATTGCCTCCTTTTCCCCGCAAATCTTCAGTATACATGCGGGTGGAAGTCGAATTCCCAAGGAACTTCCAAGAATGCTCAGGCAGTAGTTCTGAAGGTCTCATAGACTTCATCACTGCAGTCACATCTGCAGAGTTTACAACCTGAGCAGGCACAGAAGTTAAGCAGAAGCTGGAAATCACCCGAAGGTACACTGAATATTTGCGGGGG